CTTGTTTTTTAGAAAGCCTAGCTTTAGATCTGGTCACCAATGTGAAACCAGCATCCATCGCGTACCTGTCGGAAGTCATTGGAGTAGGGGTGTTTGAAGAAGCAATGGGCTTCTTCCCTTTCTCTATCGTTTTCTTTCCGATCATTGCAGGGTGAAGGAGATCGGTTAGAGAGAAGGTTTCTTCGAGAGTAAGAACTCTCTTGAGAGGTGATCAGCCAAGGGGTTTTATCCGTAATTTGATCCGGAAAGTTTGAGGCAAACTCAATGGATCTTTGAATGGGCTTAATTAAACCCAAATGAATTTCAAATCCAAGAAAACGGATTTTTGATTGAAAAAGTTTAATTTTTGGTTTAGACACAACTAAACCGTTTCTTTGGATTGTTGTAAAAAATGTTTGGAGATGCTTAAAGTGTTGATCGATGTTTTGAGAAAAAATCAGAACATCGCCAATGTAAACAATAGAAAAGTCCTGAAAAATGATTGAAAATATCATTCATAATTTTTTGAAATTCGGATGGAGCGTTTTTAGCCCAAATGGCATAACGTTCCATTCGTATTGTCCGAAAGGGACATTGAAAGCCATTTTGTACTTGTCTTTTTCTGAAACCTGGATTTGCCAAAATACTTTTGCATTTGAAATTCTTTGCATTAAATCTGATTTATTTGGAATTGGATATCTAATCCATTCCAAAACCTTATTTAAGGGTTTGTAGTTTATTACCAGTCGCGGGACTCCACGTTCCTTTTCTGCTTGATTGTTGACGTAGAAAGCCGCGCATGACCAGGGACTCTTTGATGGCCTAATAAGACCCTTCTGCAAAATATCATCAATTTCTGCTTTGCAGAACGTTAGCAATTCTTTATTCATTTGAATAGGTCGGGCCTTCGTAGGGATATTTTTCTCCTCGAAGTTTTTGTCATAAGGAAGATTAACTATATGTTGCTTCCTATTCCAAAAAGCATTAGGGATAGTTGAACAAACTTCCCTTTCTATTTGATCTTGTAATGTCTTGATTTTAGACTGGACAGTCTTAGTTTGAAGTTGTTCTTCTATTCTTTTGAACGAAATCTCTTCCTTCAGAAAAGAGATTTGTTTTTCTTTGTAATTTAATACATTTATAGATTGAATAATTGTATTCTTTTGAAGGTTGTTTATCTCGCTAATCCTTATAGGGGAAAGGAAATTAAATTTTATCTCTTTCCTAATGCTTTTTACTCTTAACCCCTTTTCAGTTATTTTGAAAGGGTATAATTGAGTAATGAAAGGAGTACCTAAGATTAACTCTTGTCCCAAGTCCTTTACTAAAAGAAAGGAATTTACGAAGCAAATTCCATCATTGCAAACATGAACTTTTGATAATTTGTAATTGATTTTGAGTTTGTTGTTGTTTGCACCCCTAAGGCCCTCAGTAGTTTTTTCAAAATATTTTGCAAATATTTGACCTTCTTGAATGCAATTTTGATCGGCTCCAATATCTATGAGAGCCTTTAATGTGATTTTGAAATCATAAATTTTTAAGGTAACGAGAGCGAACCATTTTTGATATTGAGGAGTGGTGATGGCTCCTACAAAGAAACTTTGAAAATCCTCTTCGTCTAGGTTCGGTTGCGCCGTTTCTCTTTGTTCGGGCAGCCTTTCCGGAAGTTTGAGAATTTCTTGGCAAAGCATATAAGATTCTGACCTGGTTTCAGATCTTAATGCTTGTACTTCTTGTTTGAGATTATTAGTCTCTCTTTGTAGGTCTTGAGTAGTGAGTTCTCTCTGTTTTTCAAACCTTTGGAGAAATGATTGAAGTCTGTAGGGATTTCTCTCATCCCTTTCAGGTGGCTTAGAGATTGTCATGGCATCTCTAAGTTGTTGAGCAATTTTCTGTTGAATTTTTGGATCTTGAACTTTTTCTACTACCTCGAGTAGAATTTCTTGATCCTCTGTAAGGACATTTATGCATCCTTCGCACGTCCTTTTTCCTTCTTGTTCGGATTCATATTCTGTGCTAGAATATGAAGTGGATTCTTCTTGAAGTTCGAGGATCTCTCCCTCGCTGGATTGTTCTGAGTCGGTTAGAACTAGTCCTAGTAGCTGATCCTTCAGCTCTTGATCAATATCCAACTCATTGATCTTTCCTTTGATCGAACATTTATTAGCTTAGTGTCCTTCTTCTCGACATTTGAAGCAAGTTTGTCTTTTCTTTCCTCTATGGGTTTTTGTAGGAGTGTACCTCTTCTTTGAATATGTTGGCTTTTGAGATTGCACACGTTTATTCCGATACTTTTCTCTAGGCTTGTATGAGTTATAAGGCTTTGGATACGTTTTAACCTTCTTTCTTCTAGAGGTTGAGGGAGCTTCTATCCCCTTGCATCCATACTGGTCGCAATATCTTCCAAGCTCTTTTCTGTTTGATATCGATGAACTGAGCTTGTTTTGAATCTTTGACTCATTACAAAGTCTAAGTCCTTCTATGATGAAGGATGCTATGGATCTGTATGACAAAGTTTGCCATGGAATGGTTCCATTATACTTTGTCCCAAGACCGTCTTTGATCCTTCTAGAGAAGTGTTTGGTAGTCCCTTGACAAAATTCTCTTTCCAGAATTCCAATGAACTGTTCGCTCTAATGAGAACTTTGCTGAAATACATGTCTTTGTACCACCTAAAATCGCCTAAGGTAGGGCATTTCAGGTTCATGAGTATTTCGACGAATCTTTCCTGGTATTTCAAGGGGTCGCCAACGAAAAATTCTATGAGGGTATAAACGAGGGTGTTGACAGCATCCTCTAACCTTTCATGTTGTACTTCGGTCCTAGTTGATGGACCTTCTTCTTTGATGATTTAAGTAGTTGGCCTAACAAAATAGTGGTTTAATATCTGTTGTCGAGTTCCTTCGTCGAGATATTTGTCCCACCAGTCTTTGAGCTGCCCGGTAAATCCGGTCACTAAAACTTGAGCTATTTAATGGTCGGATTTATGGCCCTGTAATTTATACGCACCTGCAGCCATCATCATTTCATTGACAACATTCATTATCAGATAGTCAGACAATCCATCAATATTCCATTCATAGATTGATTGGCCATCGTAATGAGCTTGAGTTTGTAGCGTCTTTTCTTCGAATTGAATACCCGGAAAAGACGGTTGAGGATACCAGTTTTTCTGATTACTGGTATTATTTTGACTTCTCCTGGAGATTCTTTCCATTCGATTGTAGAGAGGTTCTTCTACCTCATTTACAATCTCGTCTTCGAATTCCTGGATTTCGTTGTCATTGTTAACGACATTGACAGATGATTCTTGAGGTGTTATGGCGGGATTTAGTATCCTGTCCAATTTTTCCTCTATCTTGGCCATTGCAACCTCTTCTTTTGAAATCTTTTTTGTAAATATGTCGAGATTTGCTGGTCCGAGTATTGGGATTGACTCATCAACCTTTGGTACAGAGCTGTTTGCTTGTTCCTGCTGAGTACCGGATTTCTTTGAGATTTTTCCCTCGATATTCTCAAGTTGAGTAGCGATCGTGGATAAAATCTTGTTTGAATAATAATTTTGATGTTGGATATTCTTGATATCCTTTAGGGTCGAATTACCCCTTTCTAGTCCTTCTGGAATAGTTTTGAAAAGACTGGCTTTGACCTTTTCTCCGTAGTAGTTGTCAAATTCGATTTCTTCCAACGGAGGATGTTTTGAATATACCTCGCCTCTTCTGGTAGTCTTCCAGCTTCTCTGAGTCAAGGTGTATATTTGCAAAATATTTTCTTCAAACCATTCGAAGAATGGTATATTTTCTTCTACGGTTTCCATATGAGAATACCACTGAGCTCTTAACTCATTTCGCTCAGCTTCTTTGTAGGTTTGGAAGAATGCATTTCTTTTTAAAGAGTTGGTGGTTGACATAAAATCTGTCTTTAAAAATTCTTTGTCTATCTGGAAATCAGCTGTAATGACGTTCACCTGGCTTTCGTAGACGGATTGAGTATCCATATCAGTATGGGTTGGAGATCTCGAGCCATTTTCATGGTGGATTGATGCTCTTCTTTGATCATAACTGACCTCCTTTACTTTTAAGGAGTCATACGTAGGTCTTGAAACTCCCGAAGTGTTTGGTCTAGAATTCAGGAATTCTTTTACTTTTGAATCTGACGTAGGTTCTTCGCTGAACTTTATTTCAACGCTTCCATCGTCATGTTCAATGATTTGTAACGGGTTTTGAGATTCCTTTCTTTTTGGAAGATTTGCATCTTCTATTTTCCAGAGAGTATTTCTGGTTATTTGATCCCAAGAGAGTGTTTTTGGGACAGTCACTAAGAACTTTCCAATATTTGCTTCTATGAGCATGGTGGATCCCTTTGGCGAGAATCTTAATGCTCTTGGAGAGATGTTTGTATTTATGAGCTTATAATAAACTCTGAATATGACGACTGAAGAATGAGTTCCAGCCTTGATGTTCAAATTCTTTAATTGTAAGTCTAGCATAAGTGCTGACAATATGTGTTGGTCGTTGAGAGATAGTAAAATTTAGATAATAGTTGAAATAGACTGGTCCATTCTCTAAATTGGATTGAACCATTCCCAATAAAGAATTTGAAAAGTCTTCATGTCTCTTATCTCGTAGGGAGATAAGGACAGGAATATCTAGTCCAAGTCTAAATAATGGTTTTACGACGACTTGAACAAGCCCAACGTGAAGATAATTAAACTCTTCACGATGTTGAAGTATAAGAGATTTTGAAAAAAGATTCAGAGATTCCCTATTGCTATGAATTGAGATATTTTTCTCTGAGAATTTGATGCATGATCTTTGAGTAAAATTGAAAGTTGAAATTTGGTAGATAGTTTTAGGATCTACCTTTGGAATAGTCCAATTTTGGGGTTGCTTTTCAATTCTGGCAATCTGATATTCTTGATTGAAGTTTCTTCTTCTTCCGTAGAACATTTGAGATGATTTGATTTTCTGAGCTTTCTCAGAAATTCGTTCATAAGATGAAGATAGGTAAGACAAGAGATAGAGTAGAATAATTTTTCTCTGAATTTTTCAATTGATATTCAAGAGAGAGCTATCGGCCGATCGATGCCATCTTTACATTGATGAAGTCATTTTATAGACTTCAGATTTGAACTTAGATTTGAAAAACGTAAACTAAGAGATAAGATCAAATCTAGCAGGACAGGACCCCTGCGAGATCTGTTTTTCAAAAAGTTAGAAAAAGACCTAAAGTAAACTAATAATTTAAAAGACTAATAATTTACAAAGACAAACACTATTAATTCACATGCGAGCCTTCACTGTGTGGCTGACAAGTTGCCAATCTCTGTTTTGTCTCTAATAAAGGTGTCAGGTTGTAGATAAGATTTTCTTCATAATTTTTCATATGACTAAGCACCCGAGCTTGCCAACGGACTTACTGCGCTTCCCGCGTCTTACCACCTGGAACACAAGGGCTATTCGCTCAGCTACCACATACTCCAAATGACTTTTAGGAGAGATTAGTTATCTTTCTCTCATATCCCTATTAAGGCTGCCAACAACCTAAAGAAAATTACCTATGGGAAGCGCTAAAAACAACAGAAGCTATCAACTTGTTACTTGAAAAACGACACCGCTCCCATGCCGGTTGGAGGCCTTGGTGTAAACCACATTAAAGCTAGAAATCAAGCCCTACGGTACCTCACTAACAAAGATGTCAATTCAAGGAGAATTACTGCAACCAAAATATAAGTTTTTCCCGAGAAATGAATAGAAAAAAACACTTTGAGCTCATTATTTTCCTACACTCGATGTTTTTCCACCAACAAAACTTTGGCCTTTAGAAAACTGGTCCTCACAAGTCAATCTTAGAATGTCAATTCTGTAAACTCTTCCCCAATGTACTGATCTTTGATCGAATGGCTCTACTTCACAAGTCTTATTTATTCATCTTTGGAGCATGAATGATACGTGGCTCTAGCCTCTTTATCCAACCCAAGAGATTCCCCATTAGCTCCATGTTCTAATTGCTGGCTTATAAGCGTGAATTTGCAACAGATCCATGGAAAGCAATTGCGATGGAACTTTCTCTTCTTTCTCAGTTTATTCATATTGACGTTAGAAAAGATATGAAACCAAGGGAAATTATTCAAAAAGATTTACTTTGCTAAAAGATTTTGGGTTAAGGTGCTATCCATATTTAATTGGCAGACGCCCTTGGCTAACAAAATAAAAATCCTCCTCCATTATACGCTTGTGGGCCATCATTTCATCAAAGATAAGGAGATCCTTTGGTTACTAAGGATGAAAGCTTTTTTCGGACCAAATGGATTGAGAGAAACTATCAAACCTACAATAAAAATCTCTTTCATTTGATAGGTTTTAGAAGTTTTTCTTCTATCATACGTTAACTTGGTGTAAATATTTCTCATCTCCTTTTTCTACTTATATTTTAAATGATCTTTTGTCAAATGGGAAGGGGTTTCTTATAACATCCTAGCTCAAGGACATTTCTCGCAATTCTCTTTTGTTCAATGTGTTGTACCTATCCAAAAATAAATAAAATGACATGTACCTGCAGTCTCCCCACTATCAAAAATCCCCTTTAACATCCATTGAGCCTAGAGCAACGGATTATTCATACAACCTCAATGCTGCATAACCAAGAAACAATTGCAAATCTATTGATTTCTTCAGATCAACAAGGCGTTATATGAAAGAATTAATCCAAACAGTTAGAGAGTTCTTCCATTCTATCTCCAACACCATCTCTGAAAGAAGAAAGTCGCAACAATTGTCTCGTACACTCACCCTTCAACAAAATTATCGATATTAGTTAACTTATAGCAATGAATAAATCTGCCATTAAAGTCTCTAATTTAACTGAGATTCATTTTGTACCAACACGCTATTGGTAGATTTCTTACATTAAACCATCCTCCACATCAAGGGATTCTACCACGTTTCTCACCATCCCATACTTAAACCTCATTGAGAACTCACCCACCCTTTTCCAACCTTCAATTCTACAAAATTTTCAAACTCCTACTCCATGCCACAATGAAACAATACTTCATCAGGTTGTAAGAGATTCAAGGCACAAAAATTTCCCATTGTCTCTCTTCCCTGGGAGTGGATTAATGAATTCAAGATTCATGGACAATGGTTCATGATGGCTGGTTGCCACAATGCCTTTAAGCCTGCTAGGACACTTCAACACTTCAAAGGCCAAGGGGCTTACAGAAATGGCTCCCAATCGGCATAAAGCAAAATAATGTCATAATTACATAACTCATTGCACAAAGTGCAACAAGAAGAAGAAGGAGAATCCAACTAGTAACAAATCCAAATTAGAGATGGAAACCTGAAGGGCTCATTTAAGTCCTAAGGCTCATTCGAATTAGTCTAGGAATTCCTAAAGGTTCGAACCATAGTCTCCAAAAAGAACCCGTGTTAGCCTTCATGATTTATCTAAAGAACTTTAGCTTTGTATTAAAAAAATAACCACAGAAACCAGCTGACAAACGCCACCTCGCAACAGAGAAGGAAAGCCCACCGAATACCAAACGAATTGAAAAGGAGGTTGCATCACTTAGCGTAGAGTCAAATAGAATACAGCTCAAAACATCAAAATTAAACCCAGATGAATCATTTGCAACAAAAACATAACGAGAGGTTAACAAGCTAACATAACAAGCAACACTACTAGCGATCGAAAACATAATTCTTCGCGGTAAACAAAAATTTACCTCCTCAAAGGGACGACAAATCGAGACTCGACATCGAACCGAGCGAGATGAGAGCAAATAGAGCGGGAAGGGAGCTGCACCAAGTTCACCCGCCTATTGGGAGTACCTGGGCCTTTTAGACTCAACAACGGCCGCCGCTGCGTCAAATTTGAAACAGGAGAAGAGCATGCAACGGCCATTACAGGCACAAATCCAGAAAGAAAAACTGGAAGGAACAAAGCTTGCAGAGAGCAGATAATCTAAACACAACAGTTCGAGAGAGAGCAAGGAAAGCGAGACGAGGAAGAGTATTGGGATAGAGTTGGCGGTTCGGTTGAACCGGGAAAAAAACCGAACCGATTTTCTAGAACAAAGAGGGGCACCGCATTTGCAATTTTCCATGTGTTTTTTCTCTTTATGTATGAACCACAATAGATTTTAAATTTTTGTTTGTTATTTTTTAAATTAAATTCTATTTCCGCAAATAAATTTATTTATTTATTTTTGTGCGATCGAAACGACTATTCCTCTCCAAAAATTTTCTCCATTTATTATCCTTTAAAATATATTATTTTAAAGTTTTCACTTTCCAATATAATATTTAATCTCACATATAACTAATTTATTTTTTTAATATAATAAAAAAATATATTTCTTTTAGTAGGTTGAAAATATATTTATATTCATTGGAGTGATGACAGAGATAGGAATGGAAAATATAATCCCATAAAATGTTACTCCTCTCTCATTCCCGATCTAAACAAGAATCTCCCTGATGGATTGAGCTTGCTTAAATTGTTAAAACATATATCGGTTTTAAATTTAATCTCTGGTTAAATTCAAGAACACATCAAAATAGATTATATAATATTCTCGCATTTTTAAATTCAATAATTGGAGGGTAGGGTAGAGAATCGAATAATCGATATTTGGAATGATAATCGGTGCCTTTATGTACTAATTAAACTATCCTCGAATTAGAATTTTTTTGTAATGATCTTGTTATTCCTCTCAAAACGCTGCTACATGCATGTAAAGACATTTCAAACTAATTCAAGCGGAAATCCTCTTTCGTTTTATGGACTCTACATTAAACGTGTTCCTGTATCATCTCTATTGGGACCTAAGTTCATGACCGTTACATACACTCTACTTTATTTTTCGAGTAAGGTTGGATGTATAATATTTCTCAAGAAATGGTTTACACACATGCAGTGATCCAATAGGCAAACTCGTTAACGTAATCTCTAGGTTTGACTATAGGTTAATACACGCTCATATTGCATAAAACCCGACGAAAAAGAAAGTAACGTAAATACTATCGTGATTGTATGCGTTCGTACATTACATACCAAAGAAATATAAAATCATGGTTCAATGAGATGATGCACATACTTTTATAAATAACATGACTTCAATTCCTTACGAGACGTACATATATATCCATGGTATTTCAATCATGCTCATATTACATTTAAATCGTGATATAGTCATACTAAAAATCGTAGAACTATCCTGACCAAACAATTTAATACGTGTAAACAAAACCCACACAATATACATACAACAAACAATTTTATCCAATTTAGTTCACAGTCGTTCCAACAATAAGTTCATTTACAATAAAAACTTAATAGAACGGTCCAAATAGGTAAAGTGTTCGTGATGTCGTGTTGGGATGTTGTGTTCACGACTATCCTAAACTTTATGTTTGGCTTGTACACATCATCGTTACCATGGTTGTCTACAAATCAATATTTAATACTATCATTTATTGACCATAAATAATATTTAATAGATAAATTAATTTTATTTAATTTAAATGTTTAAAAGTTACTCATTTAAATTTAAAATATATAATTCTAAGTTTAATACATATAAATTTAAATAAATTTTATATTTAACCATTATTCAAAGTGAATTTTAAAAAAAAATCAAATAGTTGGAAGATTTTATTCCATATAAAATAAAAAATAAAAAAATTTGTTATATTTATCCGCCACAAAATTAAAAATTTAAATATTAACTCATAAAAAATCAAATAGATACAAAATTCAAAATAAATTCTATAAAAAAAAAACTCGATTTTATTTTATCTTATATTTGTTCTCTCTCTTTTGTCTTCATCTCGAAAAATACATTTTTTTATAAATTATAATATTTGGGTTTTTTTAAACAATTGGAAAATTGTTGGGTCACGTCAGAACATGGAATTAAATATTATATAATTGTTTTTATTTTATTTTATAATTTTAAAATTTCTTAGTTTTTTTTTTTTTTTTTTTTTTTTTTTTTAAATTAAATTGCATGTATAACTGTATACAGGTTGGAAATTAAAAAAAAATATATAAAGTCAGCAAAGAATTTCAAACTCATCAAAGTTTCTAAAATGTCGATTTTCTAATTTTATTATGAGTAAAATATATTCGGACTCTCATACATATAAATCTCATTAATTTCTAATCGTATAATTTATATGTTTAATTTCTTAATTTCTAATAACAATAAATAAATAAAATTTAAAATATAAATTGTATAAATCTCATTTATTATTATTATTATTTACAATGTAGTTTTGACTTTCCTTCTTTCTTTTATTTTATTTTATTAATAATTTGCCTAATTTAATTGAAAACAATTAGAATAATATTTAGTTTATTGGCCAGACGGCATGACATTATATTATCTTTTTTATTATTATTATAACAGAACTTAACATAATAATAACAATAAATAAATAAATAAAATAATTTTAAAATATGACGTGGAAATCCGGAACACATGATACAGCTTTTATATAATGTGAAAAAGAATAAAATTGGTATCCGCGAAAAATCCGCTACGGCCGGTTCCACTGTACCGGTTTTCTGAGTATCGTATTCTTCAATATCTAAATTTTGAATTTATAAATTTAATAACGAAAATTTTTAATTATACATATAATTTTTAAACAATTAACCTCTTAAATTTATAGAAGTCTGCACAAAAAAATATTATTGGATAATTTAAAATTAATTATTTTATTTAACTCCTTATGTGTATACACT